TGACTTATCTTAATTTCACTGACATCATATTCGTAAATCAAATCCAAAATTATAACACATATATTTTTAATGTATTTTTATTCTTCAATTTTGGCATTCATTAAAATTCTAAAATTGTAAAATCATCTTGATATGTAATGAAATAAAAAATTCTAAAGGAGGGAGGAACCATCTATAGCTAAAGAATGTCAAAATCTTGTATTATTTAGAGCTTAAGAAAACAAGTTACAATGAGCCCTTCAGTACCTCACACTTCATGCATTTATTGCTAATGATAAAAGCCTTTAGTGCATCCTTACCCGTTATGTCAAACCAAAGTGGTGTTCCAAGAGGTTCAACACCGATTACGCCAATCATGTGAGCAACTGGATCACTCTCCATCACCGTAAAAGAAAAAAATGTTTCCTCAAAATAAATGGGCTCTGTAGGTGGGATGGGCTTTGGAATCCATTCTATGTGAAGCCGTGTAGTTGATGATTTCTGTGGGCGACCGTTATCTACAGCTTTAATCTGTGAAACAGACACATCCTTTAGACTACAGGATCACACAAACCATTATGTCACATAAATAGAAAAGCAGTAAGAAGCCCCAAACATGATTGTTTATGTGAGATATATCCTAAAAGGTTAAGTTGTAAAGCGGCAAACAGAGTAAAATCATGCAGCACCTAATAGTAGCGTACAACCTATTACCATAAATTCACTTTAATCTTGCTATCTTCCTGAAAAAGTGTCAAAATCTGTGACTGTTTATGTTCTCTCATCCTGTTTATTATCTGCTAAGTTTTGGAAAGTGAACAGCAGCTTCTTGATTCACCTTCTCAATGCAGCCCTCTGAAATCATCCTTTAAGTATCACACAAGCAAAAACGATCCTTGTGTATTTGCCGCATCCACCTATCTGCCAGCTACTGAGCAAGAAGTGCTGAGAATGGAGAGAAAAGCACGCTCCACAGATTCATGATACATGAGATTCTGACTCACTGAAAGGATATCGTATTCCCTCGCTGCAGAAAGCTTCTTTGATGAAACCACTCCAGTTTTCGGTTCAATAAAGAATTTGCCGTGTTCGTCGCCCTCCTCGATGCTGTACGATATCTCCGCGTTGGGCCCTTCGTCTTTGTCGGCGGCGATGACGCGGTAGATGGGCTCCCTCCTGGCCGCTCGCTCTCGTTCGGGCTTACCCCGCTCTGGAAGCCTGATTTTGTAGAACTTTTGCAAGAATTGAGGCTTATTGTCATTCTCATCTAAAACCTTCACAATCACCCGTGCAACGGTTGATTTTGCAGGAATACCGTTGTCTGTTACCGTCACCTGTTTTTATTAAAAAGTAGCAATAATAAAAAAGGTTAATGCTCAATTCAGATATCATAATCTGTGTGCATGTTTTTAAATAATAATTTCTTTCAACTACTACAACTGTACAGTAGTTTCCTAACTTTATTTACTTACAAAGTGTTAGTTTAAAAAAAATGTATCACTTATTTGATGAATTTTTACAGAAGCCACTACAAAAACGTATACACCGACTGTCTTAACATCTTGATGCTTGAGGTACAGAACATAGGAGCTAACAGATACACATTAAATCTCTCACTATTTTGCAGCATGGTAACTGAAACATCAACATCTTGAGTACAGGAAGAGCGCACAAGTATGGTGTCTCAGATAACAGCTTCCTTGCAAAGTTTCCTTGCAACTTTTAAATCTAATGGTTAGATTTTGTACCTTAAAAGATGCAATTTAAAAGGTAAGCAAGAATACAACTTTCAGAATCTGACAGGCCTATGCCTTAGAAGAAAACTATGTGTTTCAAAACATAAAGTCACTATCTTGCTGGAAAAAAAGGTTAAAAAAATAGCCTCTAAAAAACGCAAATAGTAATCTCTTTCCATACTATGGAACTACTACTATACTCTTTCCATAAATGAAATGGGAAATAGAACAAGCTCTGCTCTCCCAGTAAGGCATGAGCTTTACTGAAAAGCTAGTAATGGAGGAAGGAATCTTCTTCAGTTCTAATTTTAGGACTGATCTGATATTGATATGGAAAACGAACAAAAAATAAGAGTAAGAATTATGTTAATCTGAAATTAAAACATTTGGTTAAAAAAAAAAACAACCAAACAAAATCCTCCAAAACCAAAGCAAACTTGAAGCAAACATCTCTCCTCCCCAAACACACACTCTCTTTCTAGAACAGGACATGGCAGAAATCCCAGAGCAGGTACAGAGCAACTCATCTGTTTACATAAAATTTGCATTGCCTGACCCAAAAGGGCAAATTTGAGAGTAATCTAATCTGATTTGAAAGCATCAGTTTTTAAGACATTTTTGATACTATAACAATGAGAATCCTAGAATATGAGAGAATAAAATGAAGACAAACTAAATTGTATTTAAAAAAGCTATCCAATTGGCACTCAGAAAATCTTTAAAAGACAGTTAAGAAAGAATGGTGCATATTACTACTATGAAAACAAGAATGCAAACAAGGGTCAATTTTAATCACCAACAAGGATTAAAGCCACCAACCCATCTGGTCAGCATTTCAATGCTCAATTCATTTGTGCATTTGCATGGTTCTTCCCAAGTTATTTTCAAAGGTGTCAACATAAAACTAACAAATGGGAAAAGTGCTACTTCGGGCCAGGCTATCTTTCATTATTGTTCTATAACTAAGAATTTTTCCCTGCTTTGCAGACTTTTATTTAAAAAAGCTATCCAATTGGCACTCAGAAAATCTTTAAAAGACAGTTAAGAAAGAATGGTGCATATTACTACTATGAAAACAAGAATGCAAACAAGGGTCAATTTTAATCACCAACAAGGATTAAAGCCATCAACCCATCTGGTCAGCATTTCAACGCTCAATTCATTAGCCAGATGCACAGCATTTGACTAAGTTGCTTATAATATTGCCACCACTTTGTGCATTTGCAGGGTTCTTCCCAAGTTATTTTCAAAGGTGTCAACATAAAACTAACAAACGGGAAAAGTGCTACTTCGGGCCAGGCTATCTTTCATTATTGTTCTATAACTAAGAATTTTTCCCTGCTTTGCAGACTTTTATTTAAAACCTTATTGAGGACGAGGAATTCTAAATGGAGGGAGAAAATTAAATACCAGACAATGACCAAATTCCAAAATAAAGAGCAATGAGCTTAACCTGATGTCTCTTATAGAGAATGTTGAAAAAAGATGCATTTATTTAACACTGTGTGATATTGCAACCTTAAAAGAGTGTTTGTGCTTTTTGTACATAGTATCTTATAAACGACAAGTCAGATTTTCTCAGTTTACTTTTCCTTTTTTGGTGATTGCAAGCTCAGCAGACAGGGCTTTGCTCTTATGAATTTTGTGGACAGTATTACCTCAAAAGGGATCAAGGATGTAACAATAGTGCTGGCACCCAACTGTGCACACCTATACACAGTTAGCATGATCCCTGGCAGAAATTTTGGGCAAAGCTGATATAGCAAAGAAAATTCTGATAAAAATTTGGTCCAACAGCTAAAACTTAATCTAGTTTAAAACACACCAAAAGTATAGAAAGGGGCCAGGACACACCAGTGTACACTCAGGTGTTCACTGTATGTACATCTGAGTCATGTAAGGATTGTTTATGAATTTTAGGAATATGTTCACCATTAAGCCTTCATTCAGCCTTTCGCTTGCATTCGTGTCAGAAAATATGCCTATGCATTCTCTGCAGATTTTGAGTAAATCCAGAATAGCTGCCCTCACTATGTTATTTTTGCCAATTTACATTGCAGTCCCTTATCTATCATTCAGGAGAAAACAGACAATAAAGTTTTGAGAAGAGTTTTAGATATAATGCAAATATCACTGTTAATATTAAGTCTTCACTGCAGGTGAAGTACAATGCTTTTGTACTGCCTGACAGCACTGCATTAACTGGTACTCCTACAGTTGTCAACAAGGTTGTTCTTTTGTCTTGTTTTACAGAAAACAAAAATAGCTATTACATAAATTCCAGCTGATCAATTTGAATTGACTAAATACATAGAAGAATTATATTAAAAAAGTTCTTTGACTCTCGATCTATAAAGTATTTTTTAGTCATCACTCCTTTGTACTGTTTGGAAGAAAACCTTGCTTTAGGGATATAAAAATAAAGAACTGCCTTATATCTGTATCTTAATTCTTTTCTCAAGAAAAAGTCCCAAAACACTGTTTTTAAGATGGATAGCTCTGTGAATTACAATATAATGAACACAGAAGCAAATTACTTCTGAAATCCAGTTCCCCCAGTTCTTCACATGGTAATCAAGTATGGAAAAGCAAAGTCATAATGAACTTCCTGTGACTGTATTTTAGAGAACTAAAGGAATTATTTACCTCCAAAATGTGTTCTCCCTGCTGTTCCCGATCTAGTTTTCTAGATGTGGTTGTAATTAGACCTGTAAACATAAGAGAGTAATTTAGTTCCTACAAGAAAACAATCTGAATGAAGATTAGGTTAAGACAGTAATCACCGATATATCCAATCTTCACTTCTTAGGTGGTCTCAACTATTTTTGTAGAACATAAGCTTTCACCAAGAACATAAGCTTTCAGGTGGCAGTGGTGGTGTTTCCAGCTCTCAAGGGCTGTGAAAACATTCTTTGCCATCTGAAAGCTAAGTCTTCACTAAGCTACTGCCTTTAAAGACAGAGACAGTTCTATTTTCCAATACTACTGTGCATATCTCATGTTTCTGACAGGTGTAACATATGTAATTGTATCACATTAAGTCTTATTTGCATAATATCTTTACTCATTTACAAAGGGTGTTCATACTTCTTATTCAAAGGCTGCTCACAGATCCTATCTGAATATTTACCAATCACTTCAGGAGAAGCATCTGCTTGCAGTTTTTGTGATATTAACAAAGGGAAAAAAAAAAGACAAACTGAAGAGAAATATTAAAGATGGGAAACAAAACAAATTTTGTGTGCGTTGTCTTGATTTGACAATGAGGAGTCAAACAGTGCTGCTTTTGGCAATGGCAGAGAACAAGGAGGAGTTTTGTAAGATACTGATTTTGTTGTATGAGTTTGATACAAGTCTGATGGAAGACGAGGAAGGCATGGTGAGTTCTGCTGTACATGAGGCAATAACATCCAACTATGGCAGAACGCTCTTAGCCAAATTAATTCCCCCTAGCAGTAAGTTCACAAATTTAGCCAATTATTGCTCAATGACCTTTCCACACTGTGGATTAACTGTGCTATGAAGGCTCCATGAAAAAAAAAGGTTAGGTCCAGTAGGATGTCTCGGCTCAGGCTCAGTGCCATGTGAACACAGTGATGATGCCTGGGAGGCCAACTCATATCTGCAAACAGTGCACCAGCTTTTGCATGGCACAAACCAAGCTACCACCACCATCTGGATCCATTTCCCAGCAGAGAAACTCTGGTTAGCTCAGGCGCAGGGCCAGCTCTGCCCAGCTAGCCACTACTGCCCAAAACATCCCGTGTTCTCTACTGGGGGATCTACTTCATGCTAGCGATGGAGGATAGAGATGTGACTAATGTCCTGCATCGTTATGAGGCTTTTTATCCAGCTAGCCAGCATGTTTATTTATGGATACAGGTAAGCACTGCCATCTTGATCCTTAACTGCCGAACTGAAACACAGAGAACTAATTACATGATTAAGGGCAATTAAAATCCAATCTTCATTTTCCATTTTCTTTTTTCTAACCATAGTGTAGGCTGTTTGTTGATTAATACAGGCATGTTTATATCTAAAACGCAAATCCTTGTGTCAACTTTTGATCTTCTACAGTAACAAAAAAGGCTTCATTTTTGTTTTGCAGGTGATAACAGTAGAGCTCATAAGACAGAAAAGAAATATCAATGGAGATGTCATTTTCACTCTAAAGAGAAACACCAACAGAAGCAGAATTGTACCCCATCAGGGCAAAACTGCCCAATACTTTTGCTGCAACAGAATTGCAGCCCACATACACCAACAAAATGGACAGCCACTGCTAAATAATACAACAAAACCTACAGATAGAGCAGTATTTCCTCTGTCAAGTTTTCAAGCAACTGTTCTTCAAAAAACAGATACTATAAAGCATGGCTTTATGGTAAAAACTGCCCTTGTTTTGCCTGCAATTTGGTTTGCCTTCTATCAAGTCCATTATACTCTAGACACAAAACTCAATTATCTTGTCTTACAGATGCCTAAGTTGCTTGCACGGAGCAGGGAGCCATGGAGGTGCCATGGGGAAGCAGGCGTGGGGACAGCACAGCAGCACCTCGAGGCGTGGGGACCCTTGGGACTCGCCACAGAGACGAGGCGCAGCAACAGGTTTCAGCAGAGCCACTAAGGCAGCTGGCAGTTCAACAGCTGTGTTGAGGAGACACAGGATCTTGAAAAGCAGAGCAAATAATTGAGTGAGGGCCTCTCCATGCTTGCGTTTCTCTGAATATACTTCCAGGATGCAGCACGTGAGAATTCACCTCCCACGGCAGCAGCGTGCAGGACAGCAGCTAACACGGGCAGCAGAAAGACCTTCCACACCTTTCCACAGCTTCCCATCCAGTTTTCCCCCCACAGAGATTGCCACGGAGACCGGGACCACTGTTAATAAATGTCAGGAATAATATTCAGGAAAAAATAACACCTTTCTGTGAGTAGGCCAGACAGGCTTCCACTGTGTGGAAAGTTGAAGTACTGCATACTCCAATTTGTTAAAAAAAAAAAAAAATCCAATTTCCTGTAACATTTCTGTTAATTAATTGGTTGATATAACTCAGGAACAGGTAAACCAATAAATACCAGTATAGATAAAATAAATATGCTTCAGTTTGTTAACATTTGCAGCTCTTTTAACTAAGCATGCCACACAGTTCTGTTAAAACACTTCAGACTATTACAGACGGGTTTAGTCTTCACCATATACATCCTGTAAATTCAGCAGAAACTAGTGCCAACAAAGGAAATGTAACACTTCTGGATTTAGAATCACATACACATGCATGACATTCTTCCTAATTAACCCTTTGCTGCTGCCCACTGTCCTAAGTGAAAAACCAGCCTGACTGAAGATGATTCCACTACAGCCTGAGACTGCAGCAGGATTGATTATGGCAATTGCTCTAAATATTTTCATTTTTTTAAGTTATAGAGTAGTGTGAATATTAAATGCTGCACTAACAGATTTCATTAGATGCTGAAGAGCTTTTTCTGAATTAAGGCCACAATAAGATGACTGCTGCTATGGGCCTTAGCACTGTAGGTTCAGTGCAAAGATTCTCCCTAAGTCAGCTCCCTGACACAGGGGCTCCCTGACACAGGGACTGATACTGAAATATTCTTTCTTCAAGCCTTTCATCCCTAGATCCCTTTCCCATTTTCTGTATTTATTTAAGGATATTCTAACCCTGCCCCTCTATGCACGCAGATCAACAACGACACCTTTGCACACACCAAATGCCTGCCCTGCCCTTCCAATTAACCGCTCCTTTCCCGGAGCATAACTGCTCCGTCACTCCTGCCCTGCCTCCGTGGCCCATCCTGCCAGCGCCCTGGCCTAGAGATTCCCTGGACTTCCCAGCTGCTGGCGCGGCCGAAGCCATTACAATCCACCGGCTACCACAACTTCTGTGCCCTCCCCCCACAGCGAGAATACTCAACTGCAATAAAATATTTTAAATACATCACAGGAGGCAACGTCAGATGAAAGCGAAGGCGCTGTCCTTCGCCTCACAGTGGCATGACAGCAGCTGAATTACTCTGCTGCCACTTGCCTCAGAATATTGACAACCTGACTATGTATTAACCCAGCTGAGCATAGAAGACAAATAAAAGATTAATTTTACTTCATCTCTGCAAAAAAGTTTGTAACAGCATCTGTTTTGAAGTCATTTTTCCATGGCGCAAAGAATCTGTTCATTGTGGAACAAGAAAAATGATTGCGGGGGGCACAGATCCCTGTAACAAAGTATTCATTTTTCGAGCAAAACCAACTCAGACTTTGCAATCTTATTTTACCCGTTTCCTTTTACCTCTGCTTACCACAACACCCTGAGCCTCAGCAAGACCAGAACCTCACTATTTTAAACACTGCCCATTATTCCACCTAGAAAGAGCTGCACACTGTAACCAAGTGGCAAGACAGGTCAGTCATCCTTACAAAAACACAGCTTTATAACAAAGATTTCTAAGCTAATGATGAACTAATGGTATCTCTAGCAATCTGGTGCAAGCTTTTCGTTCAGTAATGTTTCAAAATTCACCTCATCAGTAATATTTCCATAGTAGCAGCTGAAATACCACAGCTGCTCTGCTTCAGTAACAGGAGAGGTACTATAACAAACTAATCCTAACTCTAAACATCCCTATCTTAAAGGCCAACAACAACAACAAAGTAGTATGTAGCAAATACATCTTATTGCTCCCCCTTCCTTCCCTCTTCGAGTTTACGCTATGGGGTATCTACTCTCTGTTTGATGTTCACTGGGAAATCAAAACAGTTACATCCACTTCCAAAGAGAATTTACTTCTGATTTGTATTTTAAACAGTAATAAAACATAAGCACAGTAAGATATGCAACTATAGCATTCAATTATGTAAATATAAATACTACTCTTACATCCTACATCTCAAAAAAATAGCATGAGAGCTGACATTAGCAGGGATTTATTTTAGTCCCATATAAGCTTTCATCTTGGTGCCTATCACATTACCATCTATATCTCACTCTTTGTATCGGAAAAACAGCACATTATCAACATTCTCCATTCGGTGATGAAACAGCAGTCTTTAAAAAAATGCTAACCATTATATAAGTACTAGCTTATTTTATTAATATTAGTGCCATGTTACTAGATATCTTTATGGTATGGATGATCATAAAGAAAAAAGTGGCAAAACAGAAAACGACATCTCTGCAAGGGCAGGAGGAAGGTTCCAGATTTATCGCCCCACTACTTGGAGATCAGACTTCCTCTCCTCTCTGCATAGGCATGCCTACGGCTATATGCATTTGTGTATGATGTTTTCGTAAGTGCATATATTGTTTTGCCATGTGTGTGTATGGTGCTGTGCGTTCACAGACATGCACAGACTTGCCAAGTGCACTCTCAGCTTCGCATAATGAAGTGTCTGGGGTTTTCTTTTTTTTCCTCCTAAAAGAAAACAAACTTGTAATCAGTAAAGATCCAAGGGCCAAAACATGTGCCAAGTCCACTAGCTGCCTCCAGTGAGTATGGACCGATACGCATGACTTGAATATAGAACAACATTACTTGAATTATAGTGTATGAAAATAAACACAGTTTCTTTGATCTTTGAGAGTGTTGGCACTGAAGGTTTATGAATACAGAAAGCAGTAACAACATTTTTATCACTAACTTGAATAGATGCAGACATCACATTAAATATGATGAGGGAGGTCCTAGTTTT